TATTTAGAACAAAATATTTTGGATTTGTCATTGCATCTATTATACAAAGCAAATATGTAAAGAGGAACTAAGTCGGTGACATTCAGTATTCACAATTCTTACAGACAATGGCTCTTAATAAACATTTCATGTCTTAATTCGACACATTTCTCAAATAAATACGAAGAATTTAGCATCAGCGCACGAGTTGATAAAAAATCTTTTTTTATTTACGAAGAAAATTAAATGTAAGCAACTAAGAAATAAAATTACATGATTGCAGTATCATGTGTAAGAAATACAACAAAATAATAAAATCGCATAACTGAAATGCCAGTGAAATCCATATGCATTTAAGAACAAATCAAAAGAGAAAATTGTCCAAAAACACAGCAATCTCTTAAGTTTTGTTTCATCTGTTGCGATAAGCACTGTTGCCATCTGACCAAGACTCTGTTTCCATCAGCTAAAAAATCTAAACCTATGATCACCAATTTCTTTGAAAATTGATTGGACAAGTAATTACTTGCAGTTTTTTTTAAGTTGATTTTTCTTCCCTTGACACACTGCCTTTTAGCGTATTTGTTATATCATATAAACTGAGAACAATTTTAGTTGCTCTTAAGTTTCTTATTTAGATTTTGGCGACGGTAATTTGAAGTATGAGTGGTCTTGATATTCCTAATACAGATTATACTCACTGAGAATTTGAATATGACCTTTCCAGTCCTCGTTCATGGATTCGATTTTATGAGATAATTTTAGAGATTGCGTACAAAAATGAAACATGAAAGTTGCAAGTACGACTTGAAGAACAAATAAAAAAGGTATCTGTGACTAAACAGAAGATTCAGACTGATTTTATGAACAAAATGGGACTTGTTGTTGATTGCCCAAAATTGGTACAAAAAGTGCCCAACAAGAGGAAAAGCATTATTTTAAAGCATTCTTTTACACACGAGTAAACAACTAAATTTCTGGGAATGGGTAAAAACTATATGCTTAGATTTTCTATTATCTTGATTTAACACTATCTTTAAGATATGAAAGGGACTTCTTAAAATTCTAAGATTATTGTTTTGACACTGATAGACTATATCCATTAATCCATGGTATTACATGTCTCAATCTGTGCATATTCATACATGACTATGACATAATTCAAAGACATTACCCAAAGAACTTATGTCAGAAGAGGCTAGAAAAAAATACTTTGAAAATTATTGCGAAAATTTCATTCGTAAAACACCTAGAAAAGCAACAAATACTGATCTGACCATAAGATTTCTTTTTTTCAGTGACCATGTTTTTTTATCACTGCGCGATCAATATCGCACTAGACAAATCATAAAACATTTCACTTAGATGTTATAAAATTACCTAAACAATCTTCTAAAAATGTTACTGTTTTTTGATTTAATTTCAAATTGTCAATGGTTTTTTTGCACTATTTTATGTTTTTCTTATTACTAAGTCATTAATTACATAAATCTTTAACTTTTATTCAAAATAGGTGGTTTGAAAAAGTGTTTATAGGAAATTCATGTTTCCGGGAACATTATTTAATAATTCAAGCTATTTCGGGATAGCAAAAAGTTAGGGAATTCGCAATCCCTATTCGTCAGCTGTCGAAACAGAATGCAGTATTTTGCACTTTTTTTAACATGCACGTGTTCCACGTTTTTTTTATATAATTATCAAGAAAGAGGAGAGTCATGACAAATCTAAAATCGAAGTTTTGAATTTTCCACTTGGATAAGACATAACGTTTAATATTTTTTCAATTTCGGTAACTTTTTAAATATAGTAACAAATACAAAAATTCAAAACAAAAAAGTTTGAGCAAAAAAGACGTAATTATTTGACAAGTTTTCTTATATCTTGCATAAAACGTTTTGTAAGCAGATTTTTTTACATTTGCATATAACATATTTGTTTATTGTTATATTAGATGCTATGCAATTAAGCTTCGCTTGTTTAGATAATATTTAGGAAAAAATCAAGAGTTAATCAAGTGGTTTCTTTTTCTATTTCATGCATAAATTCTATAGATCAGTGGATTAATGCGCTGTTATCTGTGTACACTTTTAATTGTTAAAATAAAATTTTAAAGTTTTTTTTCTAGCTACGGGCTTTTTTTTTCACTCCACAGCAACACCTTCTGTAGTAGCGGGATCGTATTAATTTTTTTTTAATAAGATTTCAGACCATAATTTTATTTCAGACCACTAGCAGCTTTTTAGGACTAATTAAATGAGCACATTATTAACCTAAGTATTTGTATCACGACATATATGCGCAACAAATTTCCCGGTATTTTTTAAAATCTTAAGCTTTTCTTATATCTTTAAAACTTCAAAAGTGTTTTATTTCATATTTAAAAAAAAATTAAAAAAGATTAAAAAAAAACAAACATCAGTGGTAGGATTCGAACCACGACTTTTAGCTTTTGAAACTCTGCGAGCTAGCCACAGGTCCACTCAAGCATATTATTTAACCAAAGTTTTAAAATTATATAGCAAATAAAAGTTTTTATAGCGGAAATAAATGCTATAAATCAAATTTAAGGAGATTTTGTCGCAATGCAATTTTTAAGTGAAAGTAAATATTTGCATACACTTTCGTTGACGTTTTTTTTTATAAAAGAGACCAGCGACTTTCTCGCCGTTACCTCGGTTGCAATGGATGCCAAGAGAACCTTGTCTGACACGTTCAAAAGAGCATTAATAACACTACAACTAGAAGCACTATTAAGTTAAGCAATAATTTAATGAGACCTATAATTTAGAATAGATTACTGTAATTTTGTATTCTTCTTTATAATTATATGTAAAAATACTTACAAACACTGGTAGATATTATATTTTGAGAGAAATTAAAACTTGCATATAAATCAAATAAAATTTTTAATTTTATGTTTGAATATAACTATAAAATACTTGCTAATAAAATATAGCTAATATCCAGAAATCATACACACATACATAATATTAATATCAAACAATATACAAGGTAAATGTATGTTAACGTCTAAAAATTTATTAAATTAATAAATATAAAATAGTATTTATAAATGTGTTCAACAATGTTCATGTCATCTTTGGCTTTTTTTTATCAGCATACTTTTTACGCAACAACAACTTTTGCAGAAAAGTAGTCTTAAATAAAAAATAAGATTTACTATCTAAGAAAAGTTGTCTTGAATAAAAAATAAAATTTACTATCTAGAACATTTGAGAAAAATATAAATAATAAAAATAAATTTACCTTAGAGCCAGATGTTATTTCCATATTTTCAATTTGACTGTTATCATTGAATTCAGAATTACCTAAAGTTTCAGAACTACATGGAGCCTTTTTTTCATCAAAAAGATCTGGAATTGTTACATATTCTATTAGACGCTTAGAAGAATTTATCCCACTATCTTGATCTAATTTATAAGCATCAAATGCCTCAGCTAAATCTACAAGACGAATAGCTAATTTTCCATTTTCATAATTTGAAAGTTCTTCAGAAGTTAAAGGGCGTTTGTTTACCTTAGGAATTTCTATTATAACCTTTTTCTCCTTCAAATTTGGTCGACCGTATCCAGCTCGATTTTTTCGAAGTAAATTCATTCTCAAAGGTGCCTTAATGATACCCAATGATTTTTTACAATTCTCATTATAAAATAAATCATTGTTTTTATTTTCATCAACAGCTAACAATTTTGAAAGCTGAAAATCTAAAGAAGCAGATATTTCAGAAACAGCAGATGAATCAGATATATTATTGGACTGAATAACATCATCTGTGTTAATAATATTCCATTCAGAATTGTGTTCTAAAAAAAGCTCATTATTTGAAGAGAGTTCATTGTCTATAAATCCAGTAATTGAATTATTATTATTATCAATACTAGTGTTTATTGAATTATTTGTAGACTCAATTCTCAAAGAACTATTTTTTTCAGGGGACTGATAATCTTCTGAAATAACTAAACTAGGAAACTCTTGGTAAACATTTTGTGTAAGGTTTTGGCATTCATCGTTTCTATTTTGGTCATCAACAAAAGGTCTGGCATCCATAACAACATAAAGTTCAGTATCCTCAATTTGATTTTTTGAAACACATTCATTTTTTGTTTCATATTCATAATGATTATTATTTTCAGTTTTTAGGATATGATACTCATCTTGCAATGACGAATGAGAACTATTTGAAGTCTTCATTAAATGATCAGAAGTGAGCTCTTCAAGCGTATTAGTACTTAAGTCATTTGAACCAGTAAGCATTTTAAAATATTTATCTATGGTTTCTAGTTCTTTTGGATCTATGTGGCAAGGTTTTTCAGCATTTTCAACAAAACAAGTGTCTTTAAGAACTTTAACAAAGGGCATCAATTTAAATATACAATATTTACAGCAATCTAGTTCTTCCTTTAATTTTTTGTTTATACCCATAAGCTTTTCCTTTTCTTTTGAATAAGATACAAATTCCTGCTCCATAATAATGTCTATTTTGGCTTGCAGAGATCTATAAATATAAGTATATATATATATATATATATATATATATATATATATATATATATATATATATATATCCTTATAGTGTTGTCGAAAAAGACTTTTACGGTAAAAAAAGTCTCTCTCGACTAACCTTGTCTCTTAAGCTGCATTTTATTGTCGTCGAAATGTCAAAGCAATTAAATTAATGCGTCGAAATGTCAAAGCAATAAAATTAATTAATAAACTAATTAAAGCAATTTAATTAATAACATTAAATTTTATTGTTTTTTAAAAAAACCGCTATAATAATGACTAGAAAGTTTTTTTTAAATTAGTGGTATTTTTGTTTTTGTTTTATTAAAAAACATTTTTAAAACATGCTTAATTGTTGCTACATCAACTATCTTATAACCTGCTGCTACAAGGGAGTGTTGCTACATCGACTATCTTATAGCCTGACTCGCAACGGAGTGCTGCTACATCAACTGACAAAGAGCCTGACTCGCAAGGGAGTGCTGCTACTTCGACTGACAAATAGCCTGATTCGCAAGAGAGTGCTGCTACATCGACTAACAAATAGCCTGACTCGCAAGGGAGTGCTGCTACATCCATTGAGGGTTTGGTTTAGGCAGGCAGTTTATCATTTAAAAAAAAAATTTTTTTTTTGAAGTTTTTTAACATTTTCTGGTCAGGCTTATTAACGCGCTCTTTAAAACAACAGTTTATGGAAAAAACTTTGTGACTACCATGCAAGACTATATATATTTATATATAAACAGTGGTGGTGTAAAAAAAATTATACTAAATATTAAAATAATAATCATATTTAATTAATATTAAAATTAAAAATTATAAAAAATATACAGTGGTGGTAAAAAAAAATAAAAAACACACTATCTAAACATATATATATATACATATATATATATATATATATATATATATATATATATATATATATATATATATATATATATATATATATATATATATATAGATACAGCGTATATATACCGCCCAAAATGAGTAAAATTGCTATTTTGACCTCCCAAAATGAATTCTTGCCGGTCATGGTTGACCAGTTAAAAAATAATCAGAGTTTAAAAAAATAAGATTTGAAAAATAATCAGATTATTATTTGGAAAAAACATGAACTAAAATATCATATAATCATTGAAATTACGAAAAAATTTATCAATTTATCAAACTTCCTATAAGAAATAAAATGAAAATCTGCGTGATTAATTTTAAACTATTAACATTGGCGTGTAATTTTAGTGTTAGTTATTTGCAAATTTAAAAAAAGGAATACTAATTTGTTAATTATTAAATATTAAGTTTTTTTTTGTATTTATAAAGTTCAGTCATGAAGAACTATTACAAAGATTAAAATGAAAACAAAGAAAATAATAAAAATGTTGACCGTCCAAAAAAACAGTTGACTGTCAATTCCAAGGGTTAGCTGGTCAAATTGACCGCTCGCCTTTAATTTCTTATTTTACACGCTATATATATATATATATATATATATATATATATATATATATATATATATATATGTATATACATGTATATACATGTATATACATGTATATACATGTATATATATATATATATATATATATATATATATATATATATATATATATATATATATATATATATATATATATATATATATATATATATATATATATATGTATATATATATATATATATATATATATATATATATATATATATATATATATATATATATATATATATATATATATATATATATATATATATATATATATATATATATATATACAGTGGTGGAAAAATTATAAATACACTATCTAAACATTCAGAAAAAAGCTTTATATTTACAGCAAGTGATGTTAACTGATATTAATTTTTATGTTTTTATAAACTCTATTGTTAAAATTTTTTTTTTTTTTTAAATTATGAAGTTTTTTTCAATTTTTCTCATCTTACTATCAATTTTGTTTAATATAGCCAGAAATTTACTAGAAAAAATAATAAATAATTAATAATGATTAATCTTTTCGTTTTCTTTAATTTTCAACTGTTTTTACTTTTCAAATATGTGTTTAATTCCGGTTATTATTAATACCTCGTAGGAAGAGGATTTGGAAAGGGTAATAGCCTCTTCCCTATATTTATTTAAGAGGAGGGTCACTTCTCTCACCCTTACCCTTATCATTAACCCTGGCTGTTTTAATCACTCCCCCTCAAACTGATATGACCTTACTACGCTACTCAAGAATATTTTACTTTATATTTTGAAACGTAGTATGTTCAATAAGTTTTCTAAGTTCAGTTAATTATTTACATATTACTAATATATTATATTAATATCATTTCAGTTAATTAATTACAATTAGAATAAAAAACATTGCTGAAGTTGAAAGTATTGCTTTTTCTTTTAATCTGTAAGTATTTTAAATATTTAAAAATATGATATGGTGGTATTAGTATGTATATTAGTAAATTAATTAGGGATGTACCGAAGCTGCAATTTTGCCGAAGCGGAAGCTTCGGCCGAAGCCACTTTGCCGAAGCCGAAGCTTCGCCCGAAGCCGAAGCTTCGCCCGAAGCCGAAGCTTCGGCTTAAGTTATACGTAATTTAAAGCTCAATTTACTTCACCACGGTGGTTTGAATAATCAAGTTGCTTTCAAAATTATATATCAATGTTTTAGGTTTCAATGTTTTGGCCTACATGCCCATTTTAGGAAAATTATAAAACAAAACCAATATTATAAAAAATTTAAACAAATTTTGTACAAAAATTTAGAGAGTGAAATTTAGAGTCTTAACTCTATATATCTAGCAGGTATAGGAAAGATTACATCACTAAATCTTAGACATTTACTGATACTTAAGGTAAATTATGGTCTATTCTTTGAAAAAATTTATAAAAATGTAAACACGTAAAATGTAAAAATATAAAAGTAGTCATTATTTTAATTTGACACAAAATTTTGTATTTGTTTTAAATTTTGTTAAAAATTTGAATCAGTTGAACTAAGAACCTACAGTCTATTATTTAGTTAATAAAAACTTATTCAATGAAAGCAGGCATATTACAATTTAAAAATGCAATCTGTTCTCCATGTTCGGGTAATAGTCTGTTTCTTTTTGCTTCAAATATGTTTCCAGATGTGCTAAATAAGCGTTCACTTTTTACAGATAAAGAAGGCGCGCACAAAACTTTCTTTGAAAACTTTGACAAATTCAACTTGTAAGTATCTTTATCAGAGGAAGTGTAACGGTATGCACTCCACCACTTATAAGGGCATTCATTCTTTGGCAGTATTGGAAGGCTCAAGTAGAAGTTGACTTCATCGGTGTTGATACATAAAATATAGGTGATAATTTTAGGTTTAAATTTTTAAAATATTACAATTTAATCAACTAAACAAAATAAAAGAATGCTGTTATCCGTCTTTTGAAATAAAAAAAATGGAGAATAAGAATAGAGATAAAAAAAATATTTAATATTTAATGTATAAACAATATAAAAATCATAAATAGATTCTGTTTTCTTACCATTTTTCTTTGACAGTTAGAGTTTTTCCCATTGAACTAGTGTTTTTTTCTTTTTTCTCCGTCCGTCAGAATTTTCTGAATTTTGTAGAGCATACTCATTTGCACCGATTTGGTGGAACAAGCTATATATGTCCATGCTCATTAGTTTTTTTTTTTTTTTAATGGAGAGCCATGGCCATCAAAATCTGAGTCGGACTCATGAATTTTAGATTCTGAAAATGAACTTAATGATTCTTCTGAGTCTGATCCACTACCTCTTGCTACACCAAATTCAATTTCTTTTACTTGTTCTAAATGAGATTTGGAACAAAAACGGTAGAACTCTAAATGGAGTATTTCTTTAAACATATTATGATTCTTGTCTTCAACAAACTTTAACTTGAAACGAGGATCAAGCATCATCGCGATTTTTAAATCAACATTATCCTTGTATTTTTGAAAACGACAGTTAAAATCTTTCTTAAGTTCATCAACAACAGTTTTTATTTCAGTTGCCGTGTCACAAGCGTAGTCTAGAAACTTTTCCATTGCATAGATAAATGGTATAATCTCTGATATACATGCCGTTTCTTTACTCATGTCTTTTGTAGTACTTTCGAAGTGTTTTAATATGCATACAAGCATTTCAGCAAGTTGCCATTGATTTTCCGTAGGATTTTTTGCATTTGTTTGATTTCTGGTAATGTAATACAATGTAATAGCTTTTTTCTGCTCAATGAACCTTTCAAGCATATAGTATGTCGAATTCCATCTTGTGGAAACATCTTGAATTATGTTATGCTCTGGCAATTTTAGTTGACTTTGAATTTCTTTTAGTTTAGCCACAGCACTAGATGAGTGATGGAAATGTCCTGCTAATGCTCGAAAAACAGCTATTGTATCACTTGCTGTTCTTTGTTCTCTAAAAATCTTTTTCTGAATACAAAGTTGTAAAGTATGTATCAGACATGGAAGATGTTTATCGCCTAAATTTGACTCTTTAATGGCAGCCATTACATTGGCTGCATTATCAGTTAAAACTGCATGAATTTTTTCATGGGGAATTTCCCATGATTCTAGCGCTTCATTTATAAATTTACTTATATTGTGCCCTGTGTGCGACTCAGGGAAGTGTGTAACTTGTAAGATGACATGTTTAACTGTAAACTCATGCGTTACAAATCTAGCTGTTAAACTGTAATACGATTGAATTGTGTGCTGGCAGGTCCAACCATCACTAGTTAAACTTAAGAAATCTGCTTGATCAAGCTCATATTTTACTTTGGCTTTTATGGTTTCATACATCAGTGGAATGACTTTTGTGGAGAAATACTTTCGACTAGGTATTGTATAGTTTGGAGCTAAATTCTTTAAAAATCGGGTAAAACCTTTATCTTCAACAATACAGTATGGCTGCAAGTCTAAACATATCATTTCTCCAATAAGCTTGGTAATAGCTTGAGCCTTAGGATTATCAAGTTGCCACAATT